TTCCCATAGACCTTTACACGGCCGCGGGAGTTGGCATACAGCGCCTTAATGAGGGTCAAGAATTTGAGGGATACCTTTGATCCACAGACACTGCCGCTGTTTTGTCCATCCAGTGTTTGAGCACCATTGGTAGCTGACGGCGACGTGAGTATTAGCGTGTGACTGACATGATGTTGGAAGACAGCATGTTGGAGTTAGTAGTGCATAAAACAACCTGCCATCGGCATATAGCAGTTTTTGCCATTGTCCATACGTACCGAATCGAATCCAAATCGACCTCCTGGGTCTCAGACGCACTTGCCCATTTGAATCTCAGACAACCATAACGATAACTGAAATCCGAGCCAGCTTTTCCACGGCACTCAAGGCATCATAAAAGTTGTCTTTGATGTTGTTCGAGCTTAAGTCGGTTGGGGCGTAATCAGATGTAGTAAACATAACATGATCAACCCCCACTTGTGAAACTCCTTCACCGATGCTTCCTACAAAGTGCACAAAGTCAACTATCAACGGGTATCTAGTGAAGTAAGGATCCTCCAGTCCGGTGAATGAGGACGATACCGACCCCTGAATATCCTAGCACAGAGGAACCAGGTGGAGACGAACAGATAGTGATGGGACAGTTAGCTCAAGCACTGCGCTTGCACCTTGAGTTCTTGCTTCTGATAAACAGCACACATCAGTGTCAAGCGAGTCCAGCGTGAGAGCGAGAGCAGAGTACTGACAATAAAAACAGCCAAATAGTCTGGACATCGATGCATGAAGCAGCATTTTGAGATGCTTGAGGCTGTTGGCACTGGTTGAGGAGCTTAAAGCGCGATCAGGACAGGTTCAAGAAGAATCGGCTTGTCAGTCTTTATAGATGGGCCTACAAGGAGAATTGTTAGTGGGTTTGAACCCGACCCCTGCATCTTGACTTCCCCTGTTTAGGCCTTGGGAACCTGGCAGTAACCCAGCCGTCATACTTCCATCTAGTGACAAGGCGGTTAGGCACAGAAAGGGTGCTACAGCCGAAAGATTTTTTTCAAATACATGTCCCCTACGGATTTGTGCCGGTCACTGAGTACTCCATTTCCCTGTCGGGTTTTTCATTTCCTGCTTTGCGCCGATTAGTTCATGAGACAAGGGTAGTTAGCTAATGAACTATCTCGAATACACGCTACCAAGGCAAGACAATCGGTTGTTGTATCTAGACAAATCGCGCTCGGTGTGATGGCGTGCCATCATATCATTAACATAACCCTGATGCAACATGCATCTCTTCAAAACCGTTACTGTCCTAACACAAGCCAAACATGGAGAATTCATTTCCGACGTTATCTACCACTTCAAACTTATTCAACCTAGCTCCAAACAAATTGCTGCCCCAAAAGCTTGAAGTCCATAAGGTTCAGGGGGGAGTCCTACGTCACTCCAAAGCTTCCTGTTCGGCGAAAAACTATAAGTGAATGCTAAGGCAACCTACCCGACTACTTTGCCGGTTTCCTTTGAATTTTCCCATAAGTCTATCCTTAGCTCATTCGTTTAGCGGTGCGTCACGGCCTTCACGATGCAACTGAAACGTCATGTATATTTTAGCGGAAGAGTTGTAGTCCCAGAGTTCAGGTGCCTTAGGTAGACAGACACAGCGAAGCTGTCGTCAATGGGCCAGCGATGTCTGTGCTCCCTATGTGCCTCGGAGGCATGGTGAAAAACATCCGAACTTAGAAAGTGGGGCAACATAAAAGACCAGGAAAGTCGGCCCGAAATTTAGGCGATGTCTGTGCTCCCTATGTGCTTCGGAGGCATGGTGAAAAAACATCCGACCTTAGAAAGTGGGGCAACACAAAAGACCAGGAAAGTCGGCCCGAAATTTATTCCTTCCTCCCAAGATAATCCAGGGAACTTGTTCACGTGTTACTCATATGGAATTCCAGACACCATGAAGTCTACACTAACCAGCAGGTGACCATAGCTAAAGAACGCAATACTGACTGGGTATCCAGCCAGCTGCCAGACATTGCTGAGCGTCTGACCACGAGAAACGCCCAGGGATTCTATCTCTTCACTAGATTATCACTGCCTTCGCCGGGACTCCGAGCCTCACATGTCTTGTTTGAACCGATATTACAGATCTCAGAAAGTACAAGGCGAGGATAGGGAAGAAGGCTGAAGGTAAGAGAGCGAACGGCTGACGCAGTACGGGTTTTTCTCATTTTATCTTTCTTTATCATTCTGCGTAGTAAGTGCGTCAAATATTCTTCATCAAAGCCAATTTTTAACGCCAAATATGACACCGAACCAAAGTCCCCATTAGGTAATTTTAGTCGCCGCCGTCGGGCGCGGTGACCTTGGGGAGTAACGAAACATCCTTTTGATTCGCGACTTTCAGGTAAGTCGAAAGCCGCCAGGCAACGACCAAGAGAGACTGGACAAAAAACCCGAACCGATAAGTAAACATACATACCGAACTATAAAATCAATTTCGTCGAGGGCACCACTGGAAATTGAATTCTGCCGCCATAGATTTACGGTGAAATACGTTGATAATAGAGCCGATACCTCAAAAACTGGATATAGACAACAAGGCAACGACATCCGCCACTACTTACGAATAGAAGAGTTCTACGCCGCAACACGTCGAGACTGTTTCCCGCCAAAATCACGAAAATCTGACGGACGCGCGCAAAAAATGCGGTCCCAGTTCATTCACGGATTCACGGATTGATACAAGGCGACGGTCTCCAGGGGAAAGAGATCAAGCGTCGCGAGACGCGTTTCGTAGTCCACGGACTTGAGGCCGGCAACCATTCTCGTAGCGGGCCGCTGGACACGCTCAATGAGAGTAACGTCTTTCGTACGTCCTGAGTAGACAACTTGGTTGGCGTACTCCAGGAGCGGTCTGACGTAGGCCCCATAGAGTATTTGGAAGTCCATGCGAGTAATACGGGAGAAGGTACGTCGGATCATCCGTAAAACGGCGAATGCCTTTTGGGACGATTTCTCATGGTGTAGTGCGAAGGACAAGGTTGAGGAGACCCAGATGCCTAAATCTTTTTTGGCATCTATCCTCATGATGTTTTCTGGTCCCTTTTCACCATGCATAACAAAGGCATTCGCTGAATCCCCTCCAAACGACACATGGACGCACTTTTCATCATTCAGAGGAAAGTGCCAGTCCAACGACCACTGCTTGGCAACGTCTACATCCATTTGGAGGGCGCTCGCATTGGAACTCCAGGATTTCAAGTCATCCGCAAAAAGTAAACATGGACTCGCAAGAACGTCTGGGAGGTCGTTGACGTAGATCAGAAACAGGAATGG